GTATCTGGTCAGGACACCAAGAGGGTCTTATAAGGGAAAGGAGAGATTTAATTGCTGTTGAGATTCTACCTTGTGCCAGGTCTGAGCTCTGAGCTCTGTGATTTTCCAAACATTTTATCATTTAACCCTAATTGCAATCTTGTCTCCTGATTTTGTAAATAAAGATATTAAGACTTGAAGAAATGAAATCACGTGTCCAAAGCCTCTCAAATTCTAAGTGCTGTAGTGGGTTTTTGAACTTGAATGTATCTGACTCCAGAGCTAAGGACTCACAGAACTAATCATGATTTTTGAAGATCTAATGTATCTCAGAAAGGCTCCCTTTGTTTTTATAGCTTAATTTTTTTTTCCTGATGGCTAATATGGTAAGCATTATGTTTTAAACCTAGAAAACTAGGTAGACTATATGAAAAGTTCATATCTAGAAAGTGCAATTTTTGTAAACATATAAAACTATATATTTTCGTACTCAGAATACTGTACAAAGGTTACTACTCTTCTTTAGATGATGCTCCACTAATGAGGCTACTTAGAGAAGATGAATATATTGTTTGAATTTTTTAATATGCTGTCATTGATTAAGAATTGGACAGAGTGAGCTCTACTCTTTGCTTCGTTCTTAACTTTCTCTGTGATCTTGGATCTGTCACTTCCCCCATCTTTGCAAAGGGGTTAATTGCATAGCTTGTCGATGCTATTTTTTAAGGAATTAAAATAATCAAAATGAAAATGATAAAGCTTCACACTAGTAGGTATTATTCACAGATGATAAATTCTCCTACTGGGATTTTTGTGTGTTACTCATTCATCAACTATTTATTGAATGTTATTCCATGCCAGGTACTACACTAGGCACATGAAGTTACAATTACTTTTCATATAACCTGGTGTTCGCTTAATTGGTTTTAAACTGCACTTACAGGGGACTTGCAAATACTTTTCATTTCTGTCTTCTTTGCACAGCCATAAATGTATGTAGTATTTTTTTAATGGTTTTTTGAATAATGTTTTTGCTTTCCTCATGCAGTGAGGTCGTAAGATAAACTCTTTAGTATAGGTTACAAGATATTTTCTATGCCAGCGTTCCAGTTTATAAATTTTCTTTCACAGATAAAATGTACTGAAATGTAAATAGCTCTTTGTTCATCCTGAGCTTCCTGAAGATAGAAGGTCTGTGGGGATCTTTGGCATCAGTGAAGACAAAGTTCTTCTCAAGTGAATTAGGAACTAAGGGAATCTCCACAGGAAACCGCAGTTGTCAAAATGGTTGTTATAAGCTTGGCCTGTGAATAAAGTGGTTAGGATGGTTAAGAAGATGGTAATAGGGGTAGGACTGAGTTCTAAGTCTGTTGTGGCACTTGTAGCTGCTTGCGCCTCTGCAACATACCTAACCTCCCTGAACCTCAGCTCTCCTATCTGTCCAGTGAAGGACGAAAGGCTGTGCCTCATAGATTATAGGCCTGAGGACTGAACCCCGGCATACAGGAAGCACTCTGTAAGTGGTTAACTCCAGCTTCACTCTCACCAAGAGGCATCTTTCTTTCTGCCCTATGTCCAGTCCAAGAAGGAAGTCCACGTGGTCCTAGTCTTTTGTTCATAGTAGGCACTGATTAGATTTGCCTCAGAGAGAGGACCTGGAATGCCACAGTTGTCTTTCTTAACATGACATAAATCATTTCTACAAAAGGAGTGAGGAAATTCTAAATATACTCCTCCTCATTAGAATCTTCAAGGACAGAACCTCGTTTACAGTGGAATTATAGTTCTTCCTAAAATGACTCCCAGTTTGACATGAGCGTACAGATGTCTTTTCATTTCTCTCCATTCCTTTTTCCCTCAGCCACAGTAGATCATAGTTTGCCCTCTTATTTGATTGGCAGGTATCTTCATGAGGTGAAGGTTGTTCATTGTATATAGAAAATTGAGATAATTGCCTGTAGGCAAGTTGCAGGGGCTTAATGTCATAATGCGAGCTAGGAGGCTGGATGTGACTTGGTGACAGATGATAGATAAGAAGCTAATGCAAATATAGGGGAAATCGGGAAAAAATATTTCTGAGCTTCCTATATAGTTACTTCCAAGATAAAATAGAAATTAACTAGCCCCGTTTTTCAGCGATATTTTACTCTTTTCATCTGTTAGTGTGGATGAAATAATATTAATTTTTAATAAATGAGTATGATATTATGATATGAAACCTGGTTCCGTTCACAATTGATTGACTTAAAAGGATTCATGTTTGGAGATATTGGCAGTGTAACAAATGTTTGACTACTAAACATGATAATGACAGTGAAAATTTAGTTAATTTGTGATGCTGTACTTATTTCCCAAGGAAATATAATTCATGTATGATAATGCTTTCAATGTACTCTACTTGAAATGTACGTAGAGGTTTGTGTATCAGATAAATGTGTGCTGTGATGCACTTGAACATGCTGTGAATCTCTAATTATGTTAAAAAATTATTTTCTTAGTGCAGCTTTATACTCATTATATACTCTACACATTTAGTTTTTGAATAGATTCCTGGCATGATAATTACATAATCATTCAGTACAGTAGAAACATCATTATGGTCAAATACTAATTAGCTATGAAAATGAAACAAAACAGAACCTAGTTCACAGCTTATTATAAAAAGCTATTTAATATTGTACAAAACGAAATGTATGGTTGAAATTATTATTTGCTTTAAATTTGAGTCATTTTCTTCCTCGCTGGGAAGAATCAGTGTTTTGGATGCTTGCTACCTAATTTATTGCTTGGACACATTATATTTTATTATCAGAGCCTTTATAGCCAGCTCTGGGTAGTAGAGCATCAGAGAACTTGAAGTGGGAATTCTGGGTTCTGTACCTAGGTCTGCCTCATGACTTCTGCAGAATTAAGGGACTGGCCTAAGTCTTCAGACTACATGTTCTAGAGTTCTTCACATACTGGCTCTAAGCCTCTGGGCACATGGGGTTCAGTAGTAAGTCACTCATTTCTGGGATGCTGGTTTGAACATCTTTGGTGCTGGACATGAGTGATCCTCAACTGCTTTTCTTCTCCAGTGTACCTGAGGAATATAATATAATGTAGTTGATAACAATGAACCCTGACATTTGTGATTCTCCAGGTGTGTTTGTGATAGGAGAACAATCAGGCAAAACGTGAGCTCTGGTGGAGGGCAGTGGGAGGGTGCAAATAGGTTGATTCCTTCAGGTAAGTCTGTTAAGCACACCTCTCAAGGGGGCAGTATTCTCACTCTCCTTGAGAATTGCTTCTGTGGATGAAAATGGGGTTTTGCCTAGCACTTTGAGGCTTCAGTGCCCTTTGTAGATATGTTTTTGCCTGCATGCTTCAGCTGCTCTTTTCTCGTATACGTGTGGAATCTCAATGAACGTAAATGGTGTAAGTTAGATCTTGTGATCCTGATGTATATACTACAAGCCTAATAGGAGCCAGAGACGTTCTTATTGTCATATATTGTTACCTTTGGTATCTCACAGTACTGTCTCAATCAAAAGTGCTTCAGCTGATAAACAACTTATAAGTCAAACATTTTATAGGTTTTACGCTACATCCTCTTTCTTTTCCTTCGTGCTTTTCTGTTATCCTTCACTTTAGTTTTGGCCACTGTATTAATTTTATTTCCTGACAAACCATTTGCAATGCAGTTGAAATATACAGGACACATATAGGATAAAAGAGTGCTGCTAGGCTTTCTGATGCACTAAATAAACAATGCTAGCTTGTTTGGACCAAGTCTGGTATCACTATGGGTAAGAGGGAGAAGTGGTTGACTGACTATTCATTTCTGTGTTCCTGAAGTTACAAAATTATGTAGGAAAGCAAAATATTTCAGATCATGAAAATATTCACTATTGAATCAGTTATATTATTAGTCAGATATCCTCTTTGATACTGCTTATTTTATTTGAAGATAATATGATGCAAATTGTTTATAAAGTAAAATCATAAATGTTACAAAGAGTGCATAATTCATGAAGTCTGTGATATGATGATCTAGAACGTTTTTACTCACAGGCAAAGCCATGAAGCAGTGAGGATCCAGCAGAGTTATGCTACTGAGAAAACCAAGGATGTTAGGGGATTCAACTGACAATTATTTAAATACCAAAGAATTGAGAGAGAACTTTTAGAAAAATGATTAAGTCCTTGAATATTTTTTATAAATATAGTTATGTTTAAAACCATCCTGTAAAAATGAAATGTTATGTGAAGGATGTCATAATGTACTAATATAAAATATTGTTGGAAAAATTTTGCCAAAAACCCTACTTCATTCTAAGAATTATACTTAGTTGCAAATATTGCCTAAACTTATTTTAATAGTCGTTATTTCCCTTTTCTAGCCAAGTTCCAATCAATTATTTTACCACTATTTATTATAAAATTTCATCCTCTATTTTAAGTGGATTCACTTCAAATGACCTTTCCTCTAGAACCAACTCTCTTGGATAATAAGGGCCCCTGTGTATAAAATATATATGTGAATTATGTGATTCTGCATGTATAGCCGTACATTTCACTGTGTTTTAGTGATCTAAAATGAATGAACTAAATGAATTTTAATTGAAATTAGTTGTGACTAAAATGCATACAGACAATTTATGTATTTTCTTGTTCAGTGAGTTAGGCAGGGATCAGGATATTAGTGGTATAGGGCTGGTTATTTTAGAAAGACCAATAAAACCATATGTATATAAGTCATTTTCTGGGACATAGAAATAACTTAATTATAGTTGTATTAATGTCTTTCATTTGTATAACATTTATTCTTAGAAAGTCTGAGTCATTATTTCATTACTCTTTGTACTGTGTGGTATTTGTTGTGATGAAGTTGCCTGTTCTCCAAAAGTTTTACCAGACTCTTTCTTATAATTCTTCTCCTTGTGTTGGCTTTATGACTGTCTGTGACCTGAAATCTCACAAATAATGTGGAAAAGTTCAAATACCTTGAGACCCCAATAGTAAAGCGACTGTTTTTGCAGGTATCTTGTGGTCTACAATCCTTCAGAACAAGACCGAAACTCAGTAGTCTCAGTCTGTGTGAGCTCCCCGACAGCGCAAGTATCCTCTCCTTCAGGAAAGCCCGTGGAAATTCAAATGAGTGCAGTGTGGGATACAGCAAGTACTGTTTCACAGACAGCCTATGAGGTATGTGCTCTCTATAGAACTTAGAGAGGCAACATGAAAAAAGCATAGCCAGTATATAGTTTATATGTGTATTAATATATATCCCTGAGAGCTGTCAAGTTGGTGTATGTAAAGTGGTTAAAGTTGTAAATGCCAGAGGATTTAACTGGTGAGTTAAATGACACTAAAGGAAAATAGATCCTGTGTTTTCCAAAATATTAATATCTTTGTTAGTATGTGTGTTGTATGTTATTTTTAGAATGTTATTAGTATGTATATTGTATATCTTTGTATATCTATTGTAACTTGTTCCTGAAGTCATGAAGTAATCATTTCTCATAAAAGTTTGAATTTTTTGTCTAACTTAATTTAATGACAGTTATAAGTATTGAAATGGAGATAAATACCATGCTTCTAAATAACTTGGGATACTTTCAACTTTTCACTGCAAAGGTGACATTAATATACCGTGAAAGAAAGACTTCCTAAAATAAGTAAGATGCTTCTTTTCTGAGATAATTATGGAAAAAATCTGGATTGAAATAATAGACATTTTGGGGGGAAAATGTCTTAAAATAAGCAATATTAAACTGAACCCCCATATCACTGGAAAGATCTAAATTTTATAGTTTGGAGTACAATTTAAATTGTACTCCAAACCCTAAAGACACAGACATAAGCTAGGAACTCTAAAAGAAAATTAAAAGCCATTGCTGGCTGCTCTTATAAATTCATAATCCTTTAGATAGAAAGGAAAGTATAACACCGATTTTGGTCAGATTTTACAGGAAACACCCCATTTAGAGAATGGAACAGTAGCTCCTGGAAGGCAGGAGTCATGTCTCATGGTGGGTGCATCCTCCATGCCTTGTTCAGTGTCTGCTGGACCCCAGGCATTTGATGGCTGGTGTTGACTGAACTAATGTGCTTATATTTATATTGTTACACTTACCATTTTTATTTTTAATGTACTGAAATATTATAGTATTATTAAAATATTCCTAATAATTAGGAAAAATCATTGTTCACAATAAACCCTTACCTTCATGGAGAATTTCCCTGTCTGAGCATCCATTATGAGCACCGTAGGACAATTGAGGATGGTCACATAATTTCATATATTGGATGAAAGCAGTAATGTCTTTGATAGTCTTACCCACTTGAAGTTATTAGTTTCCCTGGATAAACAGAGATGTGGATACTCTACCCATAAGTTATCAAAATATATTCATGGAATATTACTATATTCTCTTTTTTAAATATGGTAGTTTCTCCTTTTTACTAGAAGTATATATGGTTTCCTTTCAGTAGATACATTTCTCTCTAATAAATTCTCTCCTTTATCTTGTAAAGATCTCTTTTCTAGCACAGATGCCACCATTGGGACTGAAAGTATATAAGATTTTGGAAACAGCAAGTTCAAATCCACATTTAGCTGAATATGCCCTATATAATGGTCATATAGCAAATAAAGGAATTTTCAACATGAATAATATAGAAAGTGCTCAAGAAGATATAACTCTAGAGAACTCCTTTATTAAGCTGCGGTTTGGTCACTCTGGGCTTATGGAGGTATGTTCTGAATAGTTCTGAAATTTATAGAAGTCTTGTCACTTTTATTATAATATATGCAGATTAATCCTGCAAAGTGGGAAAAGTGGACACTGATTCTCTGGGAGAAAGGATAGATGAGCTATATGTACCTTCTCCTTGTGGTCCACAGTGACCACTTGCTCCTTATAAGTGTGGTCTGTGGGGGGTGCTGCTCAGTGAACTGTTTGTTATTTGTCCACAAGATAAGTATGGAAGCTGTGGCTGTTTAGAAATGTTTATGGAAACTTTAAAGTAATTTGGCTGAATAAAATTATGCCTATTGAATCTAATAATAAAAAATTTGAGTGTATATTTGGCATATCACTTTAATTTTTCTAGTAATTCGCTTTCATTGTACTTTACAAAAATATTGTTCCATGCATATTGGAAATAAAAATAAATCCACTCCTTTACTACAGAAAGTTTGAGAAGCACTGGTCTAATCTCTTAATTTGTGTATCTCTTTCTTCCTTGGTGAAATGTGTTCTTTTTGTTCCTATGGCAAAGATTTTAAATCCTAAGGTTAAGTATAAAATTTTGAGTGTTTATCTAACAATTGTGAATATTAGAGGATGAATGTTATCATTTTTGAATCTATTGCCAGGTAATTTTTTTTTTTGAAATTGATATATACGTGTAACTAGATACAACTTGTTAATGTCTTAATTGTGAGTTACCTTAATTTTTTTTTTTTTTTATCCTTAGGAAATGATAAATAAAGGAGATGGTAAAAGTCATGAAGTAAAAGTGCAGTTTTCATGGTATGGAACCACGAGTAAAAAGGACAAAAGTGGTGCCTACCTCTTCTTACCAGATGGGGAAGCCAAGGTAAGTGCTGGTGAGCTGAGCAGTGAATAAGCACTTATTGAAAGAATAATGAGGAGCAAAATAAATGCATCTCAATATTTTGTTATCTATTAGGAATAAATGAGTTGGCTCCATTATATATATCATTATTGACACTTAGCAGTTTCTAGTTGAATGTTAGATAAACAAATAATTTCTCAGAGTTGAAATTCAGTTAGGATGCTACAGTGGACAAATGCTTTCTATGGAAAGAAGCTAGATTTGATTTAAGATTAGGGTGCTGCTGTGTTGTTGTGTACATATGTGGCATGACATATATATAGACACAAAATTCCTAGCCATATGAGAAAAATAGATTGACCACTGAGCCATTTTTCTCCTTAAATTTTAGCACTTTAAAAAACAAACAAAAAAGTGTTTTCCTACCCTTGACTGTAAAGGCAGTATATGCAAATCTTAGCACATTTAATGCAGAAAACTAAGAAAACAATAAAATCTGCCAACTATTCTACAAGACCATGAAAACCCCTGGCAACATTTTGATATATTTTTACTGTCTTTTATTCCCTGCATATCTTTTTTACCCCATTTTTAACTTTTTGTCTTCCTACGTGAACATATTTTATTTTTCATTGTGACAATGCTCACAATCTTATATGTTCTTTGAAAACACAGTTTTAATATACACTTTTGTGTTTTAAAACTTTTAGCTATAAGATGAATCAGGTCTGAGGGTCTGATGTATAATATGGTAACTAGTTGATAGCACTGTATTATATAATTGAAATTTGCTAAGAGGGTAGAACTTAAGTGTTCTCACACACAAAAAGTGTGTGTGTGTGTATATATGTGGGAAAAAAAAGAATTTCCTATTGTTGCATATGTACATTTTCTCCCAATACTTTACTACTGTAACATTGTGATAAGCTTTCTCTGTAGCATTCTTTTTGTACAGTGCTAATTATTTCCTGAGAATAACTTTCCAGAAGAGTCATTTTGTGTCAGTGGATGAAGCCTTTTAAGGCTTTTGACATATACGTACTACTTATCTTCCCTCTAGAAAGATGGCATACATATTCACTCCCACCAGTGTTTTTTTGAGAGTCGCTCTCTAGTATGCTATTCTAAACTCTGATAATTAGCCATATTAAATGCTTTACCTATAATAATGAGTGAAAAATATTTTACTGTTAAGATTTTTCTGATTATTAGTGAGGCTGAACTTTTTTATGTCTTTATCTTTCATATTTCTTTTATGAGTTTCCCATTTAAGTTCTTTGACCATTTTTCTTTCGATATGACTTGTGGATCTGTAAGTATTCTTTATATATGGTAAAATTAATCCTTTTTCCTATTTATTGCAATCCTATATCCTATTTATGCTCTCAATGTGTCATTTAGTTTGTCAATTCTTTTATTTTTCTGTTATGTAGTAGTTTTTAATTTTTGTGTCGTCAATTTTGTATTTTTTTCTTTAGAGTTTCTTCCTTTGCTTTTACACTTACACAGGCTTTCTCCACTTTAAGATAAATTAAATATTCTCCGTATTTTGTTGCCTAGGGTCCTGTCTCCTGAAAAAGTTACTTTTGTTCTAGAAAAGCTTGCTAACCAAAATCAAATATAGATTTTAAGAGACTGTGTAGGCCACACTTAGGATTCTAGTTATTTGTCATTGTTTCTGTTTTTTTAAATCATTGAGGAATTAAAGGTAAGCTACAGCTCATAGTAGGCATTTCAGGATAGGCAGTGTATCCTAAGTATAAGCTACATCAGTGTTTTCTCACTTAACAGCTTTTGTCATTAGACAGGCATTTTGTTTTGACTGACATTTTCTTTTAAAAAAAAAAGTAGCTATGCTATAGAATATTATACATGGACAATTATAATTACTAATTTATTTTAAATGATTTTATCTTTAAATAGCTCTAATATTAGATAGAAGGATAAAGAGAATCATCATATGTTTACAAAGAAGAAATAAAAGAACATCAGGGAAAGAGACAGCTGAGTTTATCAGAAAAAGGCCCGGACATCACCGTCCTAGGTTTCATTCTCCTCCATTACTTTCTAGCTATATGGTAATTAGGTACAAGAACTTTGTTAACTATAAAGCATTATATTAATTTCAGAATATTTTTCTCTAGCCAAAGAGGTAAATTTGGAAGAAAATTACACAGTTCTGAAAATCTTGTGCTACATTGCAAGCCTAGCTTTTTATGCTATTGTTGAGGTTTCTAAGGTGTGTAATACTTAAGAAAATAAAATTCTTCATAAATCCTTTAAATTTTGTTTCTGTGTCATATAAGCTATGTGTTTTATTCCCATAGTGTCTTTAATCTAGATTCTAAATAATGAAAACTAAACCAGTGGTTGCCATAGTTTTTCCGAGTTTGGAAGTTGGCTTTATATTCAGCTAGTTCTTGTGAGTAAAAGGGCAGTGTTAGAGTAGTAAACCTGACTGTGATTAAACTATGTTTCTGATTCCTGCTTTCTGTTTGCTTAAGATGACTCCCTGTGGTCATCCTAGCCACCTTCCCAACCCCTGAACATTAGGGAGCCATGGTTATAATAAATGTTTGCCTGAGAAAATGTCACTGCTATAGAACGATTGCTCATTCTAATAAATAACATATGGACAATATAGAAAGATTTTAATTAGAAATTTTTATATCTGGGAGAAATGTTTGTAGATCATCTAGGCCAATCAGGTTGTAAAATTTTTATTTTCTATTTTCAGCAGTTTTTGTCTAATGCAAAACCTTATATTCAATTTTTGTAGCACGCACATATTCTGATACCTCGTAAGGTTTGTTTTTCACTTAAAATTACAAATATCAGGTGATATACATTTGCCAGTTTGGAAACTATAATAAACATTCCTTGGAAAAACTAAAAGCCAAAATACTTTTCTTAAAAATGTGATTTCCTCCTCAGCCTTACGTTTACACAACACCACCCTTTGTCATAGTGCAACATGGAAGGTTTTTTTCGGACGTGACTTGCTTTTTTGAACATGTTACCCACAGAGTTCGACTGTACAACATACATGGTAAGAAAACAGAAACGCAGATGTGAAACAAATGTATACTGATTCTTGAATTCTTGCTTTTCTTTTGTTGGCTTTAATAAATTAGCAGTTTCGGAGATGACAATCATCTGTCTAACCTTGACATCAGACTTATCATATGATTTAAAATGTAGTATTTACCCTTTGATAATTAAAAATGGTAAAACATTTAACGCCTTACATATACTTGTTCTTTTCTTCTGTATATCTTCTCTTTCCTATTGCAGTATTTGTCTTAAGTCATGTGCTCATTTCTCCGATCTAAAAACAGTATAGTGGTTTTATTTTATAAAATGGAAATTATATTAAATGTGGCTTTCAATTAATGGATCACTGACTACCTCTGTCACACACACACACACACACACACACACACACACGGCCTGCCTTAAATATAGAATGTATTGTCATAGTGTACTACTAGAATTTAACTTTAAAAGAAAAATGTTCTCTGCTTGTTCTGCTTGTTTATGACTCTTTAGCTTGTAGAGCATAAAATCAGGCAGTTTTTATTGCTTTTAGGACAGTATTGAAGCAGCTTCTTTGTTAATCAAGTGATAAGATATAGGCCTTTGATCTCATTAGAAACTGAACTGTGGACTGTGGCACTGGTCCTTCCATAGGATTTGGGTGGAGCTGTGGCTCCCAAACAATCTCAGAATTGTACAGTTTTGTTGGTTGATTTTGAACTCGCTGTTTTTAGAATGGAGTACTCTTCCAACCACAAGTTTAATCCTGATAACCAGGCCATTTACCATTATATCAACTCTCTTAGAAAAGACCTCATAAAAATGCCACTTTAAATGTTTTGTTGCTGTTAGCTAAGATGAAAAATTAGAAAAGGATATTCTTTTATATCCTAATATTTATAAATATTAAAAATATTCTTTTAATTTTTAAAAAATATTTAATATTTTTTTAAAATATTCTTTCCCAGAATCTTTAGGCAGGTAGACAGTAAAGCATTTCAAAACCAGTGATAAAATGAATGGGCAGGCACTGTTTACTTTTTAGGTATTGTGGGGAAGCAAAGGCTGCTATGTTCAGGGAATTTCTTGGACAACTAAGTTCAGTTTTCAAGTTTCAGTGTCTAAATTTGATTTTGTTTTTAGTTAACTTTCTTAAACTTCAAATCTCAACGATGTTTGCCTTTTGGTAGAATTTCAGGTGTGGACAAACTTTCTCATGTGACTTCTTAGGTGGTAATGTGATATGTTTTCAGGATTACCCGTGATTTGTATGTTGAATTAAGAAGTAAAAGGTCTTCTAGAAGATGGTAAAGTCATATTAGACACTATGTGTCTTTTGCAATTATCTGAAATCACTTTGCTACCTACAAGAAAGTTTGTAGTTTTGAAATAATCTTTTATTTAGTTTCCCAAAACCTTTTAAGTCAGAAACACTATTTTTGGCTATCTCTTTGTACTCTTGCATAAGCCATTGTTTACTGTTTCTGAGAGCCCTAAAACTCCATCTTCACCTATGTTTCACCAAAGGTTTCATTTTATGGGTAGAAAATAGCACGATCACACAGGAGATGTGCTTATCTACTTTTTAAGTTTGCTAAAACTGTTGTGTTTTAATGGAGAAGTTCTTCCTTGAATATAACATGGCACCGTTTGGCACAGATCTCCATCATCAGGCTTGGTTTACTATTGCTTTTCATCAGTGATATTTAGGGATAGGCTGTGTCTCAGAGTTGCTGAAGCAACTCATCAGAAAAATTCCAGCTTCTCAACAGGTGTATTTGCTTAATTGCTTTTGCTTCTGTTTAATTGCATCCGTCCATCAATGCAACTTCTGAGTTTTCTTCTGTTGGCCATGGGATCTGGGTTTCATATCAAAGGGTGGTTTCAGTAAATTAGAGGGCCCTCTTCTGCTTCTGTGGCTGTAGCCTAGCTTGCCGTCATGCTTCAATGGCCAATTTGGAAATTAATAGGCTCTGATTTGGCCCGTTTACTTATTCCAATAAACACACACTCATCAGAACTAAATGCTTGTCTTTTCTCCTCTTCCCCTCCCCTCCTGTCCCCTACTACTGAGCAGTCAGAAATGCCCAGTGGCTGACGAACAGCGCTTTAGCAGGAGCAGGGGCCATGGAGAATTCACCAAGCCCCAGCTCTCCAAGGTGGCAGTGCTGGCTCTGATTAGTCAGTTAAGGAATAGAGGTTGTTTTGAACGGAGTACTTAGAGTATTAGCATAACAAAAATACTAATAAAAAATAAATATGCAGACCTCAGATTGCCTCTGGATGTCTCAGTGAGTGGAATAAACTTGAGCTCAAGCCTTTTTTGCTGATGGTAGATTTTTGCAGCTTGGAAGCAGAAAGCTTCAGAAGTTTGTGGGAAATGACAGATAAATAAGTTGGATATAATGTGAAGTTAACTTAAAGTGCTGTTGAGATGAGTTTTACTGTACTTGCTTGGACTGAACCTGAAACCAGCATATGTAACTATTCAAAGTGGCAGATCCATCTTTCTTTTTGCTGTCTCAAGCCCAGAGCATTTTTTTTCCCCAACAAGACTACAGTTTGTGAAAAATGGAGATATTAGATCACCTGAAAGACTTTCTTCCAAACTATATAGCCTCCCATGTTTGTATCTGAGCTCCTGGGGAAAAAAAGAAAAAAAGCCCAGTTATGGAGATAGAGCCTTTTCTTGGTAGCCTCTGTGACCCATTTCCATCTATCCTTTTCTTTCATACACTATTGCGTGAGGGCGCAGGTTTTCTGGATCCCGTCTTAGTGGGTTTTAATTAAATCACTAACCCAGGCCTGTGACAGAGATGTGAAATCTTCAGGGTGTTTGACTCTCTAGGTGTTCATAGTACCTGAAAAGGATTTGGTTATGCAGCGCTAAAGCGTCTGTACTAAGAAATACTTGACAGCTCTTTTGAACTTTGGCCTCTTGTAAACTAGGCTTCTGAGTGATTGATCAAAATGCATAGACAAACTGACTTTTGATCTTAGGTGCTACGAATACTTCAGCCAACTTCCAAGCTTTTATAGATTGGCTTTGGTTTTAAATTTCTTAAGATAACAAAAATATCTATTCTTGAACTTAACTTATTAAACTATTTTCAGGCATAGACTAATTTTGCCCCCTTTAAACTGAGTGGATATGGTTATTTGGATGAGTATTAATGACTAGAGCCTGTTGTTAGTACCAAATTCATGATCAATGGGGGTTGGGGGGAGGGAGATTATTAATATTTTAAGATTACATACTGAAATTTTATGTTTACTAAACCAGTTAATCACACAAAAGATTTTATTATCTCTGAGCAAGAAGGGTGAAGAAACAGAAAATGAGTTTTATTATAGATTGTCTTTACTGAGTATCCGTTCATATTAAACCTTTCAAATTCCATTTACTTGAAACATTCTTTTAAAATCTAAGGTAATGCAAACCTGACAAAATATATTTAAATTTCTCAATCTCCTTTTTTAGTTACTCTTTGATTCTTCTCTCCATAAAGTAACTTTTGCCCAATTTAATCTTCAGCAGAAAACAAAGTCAAGGACAAAAATCAACCAACACTTCCCAAATTACATAAACTGTGTGATCATTGTTGATTTTGAAACAAACTGAGTTGGGAGGCCCAGGTGCAGCCTGACTTCTGGTTTTGTTCTTGGTTTGGTATTTAACTTTAGTTTCTCTATTTGTGGTCTCTCCAGATTCTGAAAATAATAAGCAGTACAGTTTAAAATCTCTCTCTTAACATCATTTAAGCTATTAAAAACGCTGTGTTTTTATTTTCATTATTGTTCGGACATTACATTCAAAAGGTTTCTAGAAATATTAAATTAGAGGAAATTTTGTGCTCACAAGCTTTAAAAGCTTCAAAAGATCAGAGATTTCTAATGAAACATCATGCTTTGCCTTATATCAAGTTAAATAAATCCTTTTTATGGTGACCATAACTTAATGAAATGCCCTTTTAGGACTATTTTATGATTTCTAAAAGATTATTTCATTTGTAGAAAGTAACACTTTTCTGGAGGAAAAGGTGGGAGAGATGGGGATTAATTTTTCTTGTAGTGTAATCATCTTTCATTAAATTGAAGCTGTAAATGTTACCAGATATGCTGCTTTAGCTTTTATCATTAACCTTGGATTAGAAGATGGAATATAATACAAGCAGAAACCCCTGTACCACCTTGTGTTATAGTAATTTGTTATTTTACCATCACAAAAAATACGTATCTTGCTGTGATGTTATGATCAGTAAGTGACATTCACGAGCCGTAGTTTCATTTGTCTTCAGAGTTGTAATTATTAGACTGGTGCTATTTTCTGACATAAACTGCTACTTTGAAGAATTAGGTTGCTATGGGTTACCAATGTATCATGTTCATTTGCACTGACACAAGGTTCAGGTTCCAGCTCTGTTAATATATACCTTCAAGGTATTTTTTCCCCCTCAGGACTATGTTCTCCTAGGCAGGTGTTTGTGAGTGAGTGAGTGAGTGAATGTGTCTGTGTAAACCATGTTTCAACCCTTAGGAGAAATACCTTAAACGCAGTAAATACTTTTGCCTGTTTTCCACCAACATATTATGAAAGTACTGCATGTAGTGGATCTTGCCAAAAGAAAGTACACAGTAGGCTGGGGGTAAAATGTAATGAACTGCCATCAAGAAGTATGGAAGAAAAGACTTTCCTTTGGCTGAAATGACTGATAATTTCCTTCCAAAGGCATATTTAGCAATCAAAGAGAAGTTGCTTTGTTTTTCTTCTGTTTTGAATATATAATCTAAATGGATTCATAACATGACCCTTGACTTTTAGAGAGTCAAAATGAATTGTATCCAGTTAAACATATAAGAGAATCACTTTGGGAATGAGAGATCTGAATCCTTAGTTTCACCTCTAAGCAAACTAGAGTGACCTTGAGTTTGTTCTTTAACTTCTTAGGAGAGAAAGACCAGATGGTCAATTAGGTATCACCATCAAAGAGTCTCAACAACACTTGTTTTCAC